ACGACTGCTACTACTACGACGACTACTACGACTACTACGACTACGACTACTACGACTACGAATACGACTACGACGACGACTACTACTACAGTGCGACTGCTGCAAATGCCAATGCTACTGCCACGACGAGTTACTGGCAACACAGGTCAGTATAGTAGCCCAATATGGTTGTACGGTCCATGGCAGTCGCCCACTGCCCTTAGCATTTCTCTAGCAGGCGAGTTCTATGATGACTTCAAGCAAGTAGCTCATATAGAGTTGCTTGGACGTCAAAGCATACAGCCTCCGCTATTCATGTAAACATACATGTTTAATTTCACTGTAAGACCCCCACTCGAAACAAACATGACCAGGCGAGAGGCGACTTGGCGTAGTATCCCCCATTCTCACACATGCAGTGTCCATCCTTCCATACACAACCACGCTTCTTGCCAACCTCGCTGCAGTAATACTCGTCGTATGGGATACCCCTGTTTGACACACAAGTGGACTCATTGCCATTCCCGAAGGAAGGCGCCAACGTTGTGACTCTCGTGGTCGGAGCCTGCGTCGTTGCTGCGCTGGGAGGCCAACAAGTGTGGCTCGACCTCGCATAGTATCCTCCATTGGCACAAACACACTGCCCATCTTTCCAAAGGCATCCCCGCTTCTTCCCTTGCTCGTTACAATAATACTCATCGTAGGGAACCCCTTTGTTTGACACGCACACCGAGTCATTGCCGCTCAGGAAAATCGCCGCGGTAGGAGCCGCAGCCGTTGTAGGCTTCTGCGTCGTTGATGGCTGCGAACCTGGAGGCCAGCATTTGTGGCTAGATTTGGCATAAACGCCGCCATTCTCACAGACGCATTGTCCATCTTGCCATATGCATCCTCTTTCTTCCCCAAACTCTTGGCAGTGGTCCTTGTCGTATGGCCGCCCGCGATTGCTGAGGCAGATGCTCTGGTTTCCACTGAGCGCAAAGGCACTTGCAATGCCAGCTCCGAGAATCAGGGCGGCAAGGGTCGCCATGAAAGCAAAGCTAGTGAAGCTAGTGCTGGAGGGTTAGAAGGGCACTGCCAAGACTTGAGCTTCACCTAATAGCAGAAAGATGCTGACAGCAAAGGGTAGAGGCATCACATCGGACCCTGGAACCAGAAAGTCTTTCTTGCGTGGTCCTCCAATTTCTCGTACTCGAAGATGAGGTGTCGGGAGACTCCAGCATTGTTGACTAAGCCGACCAACTTCCTGGGTTTGGGGTTTAGGGGCATCGTTTCGATAATGCAGGATTCCTGTAAGGTCCCAGGCGGCTCAGCAGTGATTCGGATCGGATGTATCTAACACAACGTAGCATAGATACATGTTTATATACTGAAAGAGCACCAACAGGAAGGATCTGGTATGGATTTTAGGAATCTGGTGTTTAGGGTAAGTGCTCGTATGAAGGAGACCCCCAGACCTGGGCTCGAAGAGTAGGACAGCCGTCAGAATCCCGAACCCGAACCCGGAAAGAACTCAATCCCTAGAGTCCTGACTTCTGCCGGCAGCTGTCAGGCCTTTAGCATCCAGCACGGCAGCGATCTCGTCACGAGCCGTGCGGACCTGAAGGAAGCCTATTTAAAATTTCAACTGCAGGGTTTGTGGGGTTGGCCGTTTACGGAGTTTACTCTAGCTGTTGGACTTGCAAAAATTTCCTCAGGATTCTAGAGTGTTTGCAAAGAGCAGCCCAAGGTTGTGATATGCGAGTGGTTATCCCGGTAAGGCACCTGTCTTAACCACCCCAAACCCGAACACCTCGTGAGCCTGAGCCTCGATAAACTTCAACACCAAGGTGGACCCTCTCAGGAAGGGCGCCTGCTCCATGTTGGTCACATCCAAGACGATCGGCTGCAGCATGGGGTAGCTCTGCTTTAACCGATCCTCAGTGAAGCTTCGGCTTCACAACTCCAACTTTTAAGCTGTTATGATTTCAGCGGAAGGCCCTATGCAACATGGTCTAAGAGTCCTAACCTTTAAGTCCTTCAGCCTTTAAGCTTGGGGCCTGAAGGTTGTTGGGGGATGTTCAACGCTTGATCCCATGCCTTCTATAAGAGTTTAAGGTTAGAGGGATTGAGGTCGTCTTGGCAAACCCATATGATGTAAAGGCCTGGTTAAGAACTCCCTTTCTTTGAGGGCCTTAGTTATGAATACTAAGGTCTGCATTACTGTGGGCACTAGTAAGAACGCGAAGCTTATAAGTCAGCTTCTACATGATTCCCAAACATGCTGAGCCTATGACGGACAATTCTAAACAAAGTGGCTCACTCCACGCGCCCCTTGCACCCAAATTGAGCAAATCAAGATAACTCCAAACACTGAGGGCCTAAGACTATCTGTTGGCGATGTCGAGCCACCCATGTAGTGTATAGCTTAGTGTGTGCCTCCTTGAGAATGTAATGCTTAAGCCTTGATGCCGCGAAGAAGGACTGGGAGCATGAAAGCTCTGCTCTTGTCTTGTTGCTGGCGTTTAATGTCCGTGCCATTTCTGGTGCTGGACCCGAAACAGCAAAGACTACTTCAGGTCTCAAGGTCGGATAGCAAGTCTACCTACATGCAATGTGACTCTTTTTGGGTTTCGGTTGAATTTGAACCATGTAACTGATTAGCGACAAAAGCTACTACGCACATGGCTCGGTGTGGCTTCGGATGTTCTGTTTGGGTGTAGGGGCGTAGGTCCTGCCCTGAACACCTCACGCTTCGGCCCTTACACGTGTGCGTTCAAGGCTAGAATCAATACTATTTCTGAGGGTGAGCACCCACTCAGCAACCTAAACCCTAAACTCGATGACCCAAAAAGTCTCAAACCCTAAACCTACACCCTAGCACCCCAAGCAGAAGCACCAGGCACGAGGTCCGTAAATTAGTCAGCGAGTCACATTAAGGGCTTCGAACCCTATACTCTACACCTGCACCGAGACGCGGCATCCTGCGCTGAGCGGACGCCGGCGAAGACCAGGACCTAGCAACGACGTGGCAGGCACGACTTTGACAGGTAGGGCTTCCAAAGCTCGTGGGGCCCTGCGACCCCGCTTGATCCGGGAGTTTCATAAGGCCGTGAACTCAATCCGCTCGTAACGGCATAGAACATGAGGTTTATGCGGCTTCGGTTCGCCATCTTTGCCCGAAGGCAACCCGAATGCTCGCACATTACCAACAAATCGAACAAAGCAGAAAGCTGTGAGCAGTATCACGGAAGCAAACCCAAACTAAACCCCAAACCCTGTAAGCCCGATACACGTAAAGTCGAAACATTCTAAGTCCTCTCCGATGGTAGAGCTTAGCAGGGCCTCCGATGACAGAGCCACTGCGGCATGCAGTCCGATGCCTTGGGAATGCAGTCTTAGGGGTGGTGTATGGTTGTCGGCATTTAGGGTCTTAGGGCTACAGTAGGCGTGTAAGATTGATGGTCCAAGTTTCATTGAGATGTCGGGTACAAAGGTAGGAAGATTTGGGAGCCCAGAAGGCAGCTGTCAGGCCTCAAGCTGTGTCAAGAACCCTGAACCCCTGATGCAGTCGCACAGAATAATTAGCCTGAAACCCCAAGGCCGCATTCCCAAACCCTCGGCCCTAAATGCGGCCTAGCTGGTAAAACACCATGGTTGAACAAAGCCGGCAGCCTTTGCAGGACACCCTCCCAAAACAACAAAGAAAACACAAACAACTCACGCAAACAGCACCTAACACTTCTCTAGAACGCAGCCTCAGGTTTGAGGGACTGCAATGCCCTAGACGATCTCAGGGTTTCGGGTTTAGTAGTCTAGGTTCAGGGTTTAGGTACAGAGTTGTTGGGCTTTGGCCGCTAGGTTTGGGTTTGAAGATTGATAGGGCTGGGTTTTTTGGTTTGGGCTGAGCATTTCAGAGGATCCCTCTGGCGCCAAATTCTCGAAAGAACAGGACCAAAGCATCGGAAGAGGGCATACCAAGACCGACTCTACATCCGACTCTAGAAAGTATGGGTTGTGGGTAGGCTATGATAGTTTAAGTTTCGTTTAAAGTTAAGACAGAAGCAATGGACGCATTGGGAGAACCAGGCTGGAACGCAGTAGCACGGCCAAGCAACACCAACAAAACCAGAAGTCAGTGTGCTTTTTCATGGAAAATCTCGTTCGCTCAACTAGAACTCAAAGACTCAGATGCTTAGTCAGAACCCTACATAAACTAGGGCACATCGTACATGGGCTTCTTGGGACTAGGGGTCACGTATGGGATCATTATAATTTTGGATTCTGCCGCTCTAACATTGCTCGGTGTCCCGTATTTCTGCAACACCAATGTTTGGTAGTTTCGAAAAAGTAGATACAGTGGACAGTAGGATACTTATTAGTGTGGCGGCCACACAAGATGATGGCAACCCCGAACATCTAAACCCGAAGCCCTGATATCTGTTGGCCGATCTGCCGCTGCTCGCCCCGGTAACCAGCACTGCTCCGGGGGCCACAGGAAACCTGACACACATTTTTGGGATTCAGGGACGTGCTGTATAGGGTCTCTCAGGACCCACCAAGTACCCTTTAATAGAGGCGCTCTGAAGGGTAGTCAGGCTGTAATGAGGTGATCTAGGAAGGGTGCATGGTTTAGGGTCGGGGGATCGGCCTTCTGGGTTGAAGCCTGCAGCCCTCCTCAACCTCTGAGATTGAACAACCATGAACCGCCTCAACTCCGTGACCTGGCACCGCCTGGCACCTGCACCCTGAACCCCGATCATGCCTAAACAAAGTCTGCGGCCTCTCACAGAAGCCCCGAAGCCCGGACTCAACCCTAAACCCCTTTAAAACTCCCTCGAGCCCCCCAACGGTTGCAGGGCTCCTCTTCGCCAGCAGCGCGTGCAAGCAGGGATGGATCCCAGCCAGGAGCCTGCCCGGTGTTCCGTGTTCAGTGTTGCAGGCTTGCCTCGGGGTTTCGAGCTTAGATGGCGTCCTGGGTGGCTTGAGTCTAGGGGTTCGGGGACTCTGCATCATTTAGGGTTTGGGGCTTCTTTAGGTTGGGGCTGTGGGAGTTGGCGCAGGGCTTCGGCTTTTGGCTAAAGGTTCAAGGCCTAGGTTTGCAACAGCGAGAAGTTTGAGCATGGTCCCGAACCTACACTGCGACAAAACATTACAAGATGCTCAGGGTAGCATGATGAAGTCTTGACGGTTGAGTGATGTTGAGAGCATAGGTCTATGGCCTAGGGTTGCACCTCACTTTTGGCTTCATACCCAACCTCAACAACTCCCTCCTTTTTCGGACCATAAGAGACCCCTACATGAGACCCGATACTGTAAGACTCGTATTTTTTCGGAGCATATGTAAATACGATACCTTCATTAAGTGCTGTCATGGCACAAGACTGGAACTGCCAGCCAAGCACACCGCATGGCCGCAGTGGGGATCCGAAGCAAAACGTCTACAGGGAGTTGCGTTTAGAAAGATTGTGGCTTAAGATCTTTAGGGAACTGCATACCCAGCAATACCCCATGCAGCTCCGTAATACAGCTTAGTATGTGACTTACGGCGGGCTCATGAGGTCTGTAATGCCTGGGTAGCGAAGGTTTCAGGGTAATGGGGGGAATGCCTACCAAATCTAAGACTTGCAGCTTTCTGCCACGGACTCGGATGAAAGTTGTAGGGTACACCCTTGTTCACAGTTTACCTGGGGTTGATGGTCTGCAATGCTTTGCTGGCGCTGTGCGGTCTCAAGCCACCAAAGGGAGCTTCAAGCAGCAGTAGCTCCCTGGAGCTGATCACGATGGCCAGGGAAACCAGCATTCTGAATACCCGAGACCTGTTGTGGAAGCTGAGGTGCACAGCCCTCAAATCAACTCTGGAAGATCAAGCGTTTAAAGTGTCGCACCCTAAATGCACCTCAAGTCCATACGCTCTGCTGAACAACCAACACCCAAAACCCCGCCCTGTCGGTGGTGCACTTTGATGGATGCATACTTGTGAGATCCCGAACCCCATGGCAGGGCCCTTTGCTTCATCACAAGAGGACGCACGCGCGCGACTTCTGGACCGGTACCTTCGAGAGGGATCGGACCACCTGCCCACAGCCGTCGAACTTTCGGGCTGCTTCATCCTATTCGATGTTGTTATTGTGTTTGTTGGCTGGAGAATCTTGTTTGAAGGCTGCCGTGGCGTGCTTGACGGCCTCTTGTTGGTGTTTTAGGGCTTCGGGTTTCAGGTTTTTGCAGCTTTCGTGCGGGCTTAGGCGTTGAGGTGTCAGGATGCGTTAGGGTTGAGGAGATCAGGCCTAGAGGGGCCTACGGCTGACGGGTTTAAGGCCTTGCCGTGCCAGGCTTTGGGGCTGGTAAGGTATTGAGGCTTTGAGGGTCTGTGCAGAGTTGCTTAGTTTGTCAAAAGGGCCACGAGCTTTTGCAGTAGTTGTCCAAGCAGTAAGTACTTGAAGGTCTACACATATGAATCTCTATATGCTCCAGGCCCTAATCATACCTTGGGTGATTTGAAGTGCTAGGGCTAGCTGGGAACAAAGCTGGGCATGTGGCGCTTTTGCATTCAGTCGGCTGGCGTGTTAGGCGATTGCGCTCTTGGGCTTTCGAGGCTGGGTTCTCTGCTCAGGATTACTT